TCCCTGTGCTTTCACTCCCCCACGCGCCCCTGCACACGGCGCCGTCTCCTTACATTGACCGGAGAGGAGATAAAACCTGCAGGTGCGGCCTGGCTGGTCTAGCTCAGCGGCTAGATCCTCAGCACGTGGTCTGAAGGGTCCCGGGTTCGATTCTGGTCAAAGGCATGAACCTCAGCTGCCGTTTCCTGGCCCAGGTCACGGGCCTGCAGGAGGCAACTAATCCATGTCTCTCTCAGATCGATGTTTCTCTCTCTCTCTCCCTCTCCCTTCCACTCTCTCTAAAAATGAATGGAAAAATATCCTCAGGTGAGGATTATCAAATAAAACAAAAAACCACGCATGTGTGGGTTGCAGTGCATTGGGCACTGGAGCTGGGACCAGTTCATCACGCAGCCGGGACGTGGGTGATTCTGTCCGTCCGTGGAAGGTGGGGCTGGACAGCCAGGACTTGATTCAGGGAGGACTCACCCTAAAGCTTCCCGCCCCTCCAGGCCTTCACCCCTACCTCCCACTAGAAGAAAGAACCACAGGAGGAAAGCTAGCATTCAGGGTCCCAACCTTGGGCTCCCTCCTGGATGAGGGGGTTCTTGGGGCGCAGGAGGGTACACTGGGCTGGATGATGGGGGTCTCAGGGCACAGGAGGGGGCACTCACCCTGTAGCCGGGGCTCGCGTCCTCCACGAGTGCCGTGTTGTGGCCCTTGTGCCGCGGGTCACGCTCACAGCGCCAGCAGATGAGCTGGCCGTCGTCCTCGCAGAAGAGGTGCAGCCGCTCCCCGTGCTCCTGGCAGGACAGCTCCTGCTCCTGCTCCTGCTCCTGCTCCTGCTCCTGCTCCAGCTGCTGCTGCTGCTCCTGCTCCTGCTCCAGCTCCAGCTCCAGGAGGGCTGTGATGAGGCTGCCCAGCTGCTTGTTGGGCCGCAGGCTGCCTCTCCTGAAGGGAGCCCGGCACTGGGGGCAGGAGAAGGTCTCCCTGTGTTGCTGTCTCCGCGTTGAGGAGGGCGGGCCCATGAAGCGCAGGAGACAGGCCTGGCAGTAGCTGTGGCCGCAGCTG